AGACCATTCTTCTTGTTCTTTATCATGTGTAAGCTTTTGGATCTCTAACTGAAGGTTAGGGCCATCCCATGAGCACTAGGATATACCTGTATATATATATATATCCTAGTGCTCATGGGATGGCCCTAATCCATAATGGAATTGTATAGCTTTTATGCTTCAGTAAAACGGCCTTTGTAATTAAAATATATGGTCTAAATATTTGATATTTATTGTACATAGTTCTAGACAGACTTGAAGATAGAAAAACAACATACTTCATTATCTACCGTAATGGCATCATTCAGTGTTACAGTGTTTGACTATGTACACGTCGTTTAAAGCAATAATAACTCTTCCTTTGAGATTCAAAATTCCGCAAGAAATACATTGTAAACAACGCCTGGAAATATATTCTATTGCATTTTCCCACTAAAACGACTGTTAGGCTTCATTCACATGCAATGTCTATTTTCTAAATTCTATTTTCTATTCGCGGTATGTCTTATGATCACGGTCTGTGCCCTGAATATCCCGCGGCGTAATTACTGGCAGCGCGAGCCAGTTACTATAAGTTACTGTAAGTAACTGGCTAGTGCTGCCAGTAATTACGCCGCGGGATATTCAGGGCACAGACCATGATCATAAGATACCGCGAATAAAAAATAGATTTTTAGAAAATAGACTTTCCATGTGAACGAAGCCTTATTGTAGTAAAACTAAAATCTGTGCTTGTCACTTGGGCTTTCGATGCCTATCTTCACGGTCGACAAGTGCATCCGTTGCCAATGACGTTTAGGTGTCACGCGGATTCTCGCGTTCATTCGAGACCAAAATAACATTGGCGGGAAACCCTCAGACGTAAGTTGCGAGTTTTTGTACAGTGCGTCGGATAACGAAAAGCCCAGAAATGCACACATTGTAGATATAAATGCATTTTGAGCAATAAGACGAATACATTTTATGAATCTTATAATATTGTTATATAGTGTTGTTGTTGTCTGCTTTTCCCGCAGTTTTAAGTAGGTCACCAGAAACTATCGCTCGATATCGCGTGACTGCCATGTCAGAGAGAGGGCTCCGTCAGTTAAAATCTCTTAAGAGATTTTAACAAAAAACTGTACGTTTAGGAAAAAAACCTGGATTAACTTTGAATGCAGGAATGGGGTCGTTGACCATTGGTAAGTAAGGGAAAATTGCCGTTTTTTCCAGGAAAATCGTATTTTCGGCCAAAACGAAGAGTTATTATGACTTTAAAAGCGTTTCAAGGTGCCTTATTACATTACTTTAACAAAGGAGGCAGCTACAAAATCTATCATCATTTCGATGAGCAAATTATAACCTGTTAACAAACGAGATGAACTATGCGATGTAAAAAATATCCACTGACATAACCTGAATTTTAATCAGGTTCATGTATGTCCAAGGTGCCTTGATACATTACGTTAGAAAATGGACGTAGCTGCAATAAAAGCGATCATGACACCAGAAACTGTTAACAGTGAAGATGTATTATTCGATGTAGAAAATACACGTTATCATAACCTGTTTTATCATCAGGGACATGTAGGACAAATGTGCCTTGTTGATCAAGATCAAGATTTGCCTGTAGTCATAAAGGTTGTAACCATGAATATATATAAATTGTTGAAAGGCTGATAACCTTTGAGTTGCACCTCTCTTGGTAACTAGAAAACGTCCGAATATCTTCCTTGAAAGCAACAAAAATATATTTAGCTTTATAAGGTTAATTGTTTGGTAGCCCATGTACGTGAGCACATGCAGCGATTTAAAGCTGGTTATTTATATAGCTTATTAGCAACTGTCCTCATACTGACCATTAACGTTCACTGGCAATATCAGAGACGATATTATGAACGTCATGAACACGATTCGGAGACACAGTGGTAGGTTAAAAATAAGACACGGAATTCTGAAAAGGCATTTGATATTAATTGATAAGACGGAATCATCATCATCATTTAGAGCCTATAGTGTTCCACTGTTGGACAAAGGCCTCAGCATGCTTTTTCCATTGTTTCCTATCCTGAGCCTCAGATTTCCAGTTTGGCCAAGGTTTCTTCTTCCAAGACTTCCAGTAGTCATCTAATTCATCCCTCCATCGTTTGACCGGCCTTCCTCTTTTTTTTTGTCCATACCTTGGGGTCCATTCTGTAAGCCTGATTGTCCACCTATCGTCCTTCATTCTTTTGACATGTCCTGGCCACCTCCATTTCATTTCTTTAACTGTGAGCAGTACGTCCTTAACTTTGGTCTGTTCACGTAACCATACATTCGTTTTCCGCTCTCTTGGACTGATGTTCAACATAATTGTTCAACATAAAAGACGGAATAGGCAACAACAATAACAACAACTACTGCTACTACTACTTCTGCTACTTGTACTACTTGTGCTTCTACTACTACTACTACTACTACTACTACTACTACTACTACTACTATAAATTATTATTATTATTATTATTATTATTATTACTTGAAGAAAAAACAAAGAGCGCAGGCCTCTGCGACGTGTACAATTGAAATAGTTTAATTAAGAGGTAATTGCTACTTCTTGTATAGCTTCGACGAAGGGCGCATTTCTATGATAACCCGTATCACCCCCGAAATTTAACAATTTCTTCCGTGGCCAATTTGTGGTCTATAATGAAAATTTTATCAGAACGCTTCCATGACTTTGTGCATAACTCTGCGCAGACAAACAAACAAACTGTCAGAACCAAAAATATTACCTCCTTGTCGGAGGTATAAATAACAAGAAGAAGAATAAAAACTAAGAAAAAAATAATAATATTCCTGATGAAGCAGAGATTTCCCCAGTATGTATTGGCCATGCAACTAGGTGTTCTTTATTTATCGCACTATCCCGAACTATACTTCACATAATTGTACAAACCAATTATCTTTTGATGCAAATAAACGTTATTATAAAGGATACTGTTAGAGAGTTTCATATCATCCAGATGCCGGAAATGAGGTCTTTCCTGCAGTCAATTATTCAATAATTCATCTACCTTAATGGTGATTTAAAATTATAAAAATATCCTTGAAAACATTAAATATTGGCGTTTATATTTCTCATTTCTATCTTGAGTAAAGGGAACTCAAACCTTTTATCGTCACATTAACGCCCTTATACTTTAGGGTGAGATAGGGATCGGTATGAATCGTAACTTCAACACTGAGCAAGATTTTATCACAAATATTGGCATGTTTGATAAAAAGTGTATGAGCTTCAATCCCATGCCGTCATTTTTATACACGTTTTGTTATGGGGCTATGAGTCCCAAACAACACATTTTCATTAACCAAATGCGTTCTTTATCAATGATAAAATCCGAACAAAGGCATTTGGGAAAAATCCTTGGCTGGATTTTCTAGTACTTAGTTGTGCCATTTCATTGGCGGTAAAATGATGTTCGTGGGTGCTCAAGTAAAGGAGACATTTAAGAAATCGTTTTTTACACTCAAATACCGATTATGACGTCACTCGTAAGATGACGTGTTTGTAAATGTTAATTAATTTAGTCAATGAACGCTAAAGATATACCTGTTATTCAACAGATTGTATGTAACAGATTGTATGCAAACGATTGTATGTAAGGCAGGAAATGAGGAGTTTCTGGCACACGCTACAGTATCCTTCATTGCTTCAGTCACAACATGTAATCTCACCTAACACATTACCGGCAAGAGCACTTTTATAATAAATAATTTCAACAACCTTCTGGTCAATGATTTAATCACAAATTTACACCGTTACAGTCAGCAGTTGTATCTGTAATGAATAAAACATTTTAAATGTCTCAGTATCTTTAAAGACATTAGAGGCCAAATAGGTCAGTCGATCATGAATGGCGGATCGAAGAGAGAGAGAGAGAGAGAGAGAGAGAGAGAGAGAGAGAG